TCTGGCATGGAACTCAGAGATCCCGCTGCCTCTGCCTCCCAGTGCTGGAATAAGGCTTGTGCCACCACCCTGGACAGGAATAGTTTTTTGTATGTGTCTGTTTGTTTTTTGTTGGGTTTGTTTTGGTTTGGTTGTTTGTTTTTTGACAGGGTATATTATCATGTAACTTTGGATGTCCTAGAACTCACTATGTAGACCAGACTGACCTCAAACTTAGAGATCTGCCTGCCTCTGCCTCCCAGGTGCTGGGACTAAAGGTGTATGCCACTATGCCCAGCAGAAATAGTTTTAATGTAGCTAGTTATGGTGGCTGATAACTATAATGCCAGCATTTTACAGCCAGGTGGTTTGCCAGGAATTTGAAGATAGCCTAGATTACATTGTGAGTTCCAGGTCAGCCTGGGCTACACAGGAAGAGCCCATTTCAAAAATTTGAAGACTGGGCATGGAGAGATGGATCAGCAATTAAGAGCACTGGCTATTCAAGAGGACTCAGGTTGATGTGTTATTGGTGTCTCGCAACCATCTGTAACTCCACTTCCAAGTGATCCAACACCCTCTTCTGGCATCTTCAGCCAACAGGATATGCACATGGTGCAAAGACGTATATGCAAGAAAAATATCCATACACATAGAATAAATATTTGAAAGGGTTTTTGTTTTGTTTTGATGTTTTTTCCTAATGAAAAAGTGCTGGCAAGATGATCATTCAGCAGGCAAAGGCACTTGCCACCAAACTAATGACCTGAGTTTGATCCCTGGCACCCATATTGTAGAAGAAGAGAACCAATTCCTACAGGTTGTCCTGACCTCATGCACTGTGCACTGCCATGTGTATGCATACATATACAAATAAAATGTATTATTTTTTTAAATTAAAAGAAAACATGTATTTTTGTTTTCTGTTTTTGTTTTAGAAAAAGCCTCACTATGTAACCCTGAAAGACCTTGAACTCAAAGAGATCCTCCCCAGCTTTTTTTTTTTTTTTTTTTTTTTTTTTTTTTTTTAAAGAAGAGGATGTTGAATCCCAAAGCTAGAGTGAAAAGCAGTAAACAGAACTGCCTAATACGGTGCTGGGAACTGAACTCTGGAAGAATATAAAGTACTCAACCTATGAGTCATCTCTCTAGCCTGAAAGACTTTATTTTATGCCAGGAGGTATTGATACATGTCTTTAATCCCAGCACTTGGAAGGCAGAGGCCAGCGGATCTCTGTGAGTTCAATGCCAGCCTGGTCTACAATGGGAGTTACAGAACAGCCAGGGCTGCACAAAGAAACCACTGAGTGTTTTGCTCAAAGCTTCTGCTTCCTTGCAATATTGGGGGGAGGGGCTGTTGTGTTGTTTTTGTTTTTTGACAGGATCTCTTATAGTCTTGGCTGGTCTAGAACTCCCGATATAGACCAAACTGGCCTCAAACAGAGACCTGCCTGTCTCCGCCTCCCAGGTGATGGAATTAGTGATATGCTTCACCATGCCCAACAGGAATGCTTGCTCTCCAGCCAGATTACTGTTGTGTGAGAAAACCCAAAGATCTCCAGAAAGCATACCCGCTCACCGCCCAACTCCTAGCCTTGGCTCACCACTAGGTTGCTTCCCACCTGAGCTCTCTGAGAAGCTTCTCAAACTCCACTGCGATCCTACCAGATGACTCCAGATGGACCAACGGCGAGTTGTCCTTGCCAAGCCCTTCCCAAAACACAGATTAATGAGTGAAATATTTGTTTTAGTCCACTAGGTTTCTTGGGAAGGTGGGGTTGTAAATAGCAATAGGTAACTAGCAGGAGCAAAGTTCCATTCCTTTCCCGTGTAGTCCATGAAACAGCAGGCTATAGAGAAGGAAGTGGGCTATAGAGAGAGTGTGTAATAGAATCTTAGAGAGTTTACTCTGAAGTGTCTGACCAGTGCTTGACCATATCGAGACTTTTTCTGTTCCACCCGCCAGCTCCCAAATAATGACAGAGGCTTATTATGAAAACTCGGCCTTAGCTTAGGTTTTTCCCACTAGCACTTATAACTTAAATTAACCCATTTATATTAATTACATTTTGCATCATGGCTTTTTAACCTTTGTTAGCGCCCGTGGGCCCCAACATAGATAACTATTTTCCCTAACTGGATTAGTACAGAGGCGCAAGGAATAACTAGACACAGCTTACATGGTCATCACGGAAGGGCATTTCAGGCTTCTTCCTCCTGAAGATCTCCCCGTGTTTATTATCCAAACAGCTTTTATACCAACACATAAACTGAGCGGGAAAATACACCAGCTTTCTGTCTCCTAGGCAACCAGGTGAATGGCGTTTTGTCACATCCACATCTACCTGTCTGCTGTGTATGTTAGCTGTCACGTAGGCTTGAATCAGAATCTCTATAAGGCATCCTCCAAATTGCAAAGAAAGGAGCAACATCCTGACCTTTTGTTAGGCAGGGACAGCCTGTCTGCAGGGCTACGTGATCACTTCGGATCGGGCCTATGGCTTTAGCGCCTGACAGCCACCATATAGAAATATGGGCCTATAATCCATTTCTGTACTACCCATCCTGCTTCCTCCTTGTGTCTCATCTCTGGAGCGCCTAGATGCCTTCTCCTCTTTCTCTGCCCAGAAACCCCACCTATTCCTCCTGTCTAGCTATTGGCCATTCAGCTCTTTATTAAACCAGTCGCAACAATATATCTCACACAGTGTACAAATATCCCGCAACAGCTTGATGGAACATTTTTAGATGCTTGTCATCCTAAATATGCTTTTCAGAGCTGTGATAAATACTGACCAAAACTAATTTGGGAAGGAGGGGGTTTGTTTGCTTCCACAACCATGTTGTAGTCCATCATTGAGGAGAATTGGAACAGGAACTCTGTAGGATCCTGAAGGCAGGAACTGAAGTAGAGACAAAGGCCACATATGGCCTGTTCTCCATAGCTCACTCAGCTTCCTTATATAACCCACACCTGCCCAAAGGTGGCACCACCCACAGGGGACTGGGCCCCATTAAGTCAAGAAAATTATCCACAAGCAAAGTCGGGACCGTAATGGCACACACCTTTAATCTCAGCCCTTGGAAACCAGAGGCAGGAAGATCTGGTTCCAGGACAACCAGGACTACACACGGAAACCCTGTCTCAAAAAAAAAAACCTGTACAAAAAAAAAAAAAAAAAAAAAAAAAAACCCACAATGGTAGTTACCTTCTTCCCAGGTGACTCAGATCAATTTGACAGAAGCCAACCAGCAAGCACACTTGTCTTCACCTGTTGCTAACCAGAGTGCTCGAGACTGAACTCAGTGTGTCTGAAGTCTTGATTCCAGATGTTGTAAGATCCATAGACACCTGTTTTGTATTCAAAAATGTCTACTGATTCAGTTTAGCCATGTGACCCTCAATTTGTTCCCTAAGTTTTCTAGTTATATACTACACTTTTGGCTAAAAGATATCAGACCACCAAAGAGATACTTAGTGAGTCACCGAGATAAATCCATTCTAACCAGGGCATGGTGGTGCACACTATTAAATCTGAGAGAGGAGGATCTCATCAGTTTGAGGCCATCCTGGTCTACATAGTGAGCTAACCAAGGCTACATACTGAGATCCTGTCTCAAAAATAATAGTAATATGGAGTCTCAGTGAAGCCACTTTCAGTATATGAAAGTTTTTGAGGGGATTTTTCCCAGAGCAAAGTTATTTAATTCCTGATTTCTTCAAGTTGTTGTCAACTTTTTTGTACTGCATAATTATTCAAGAAACCATTTAATGCCTAATAATTTGTTGTTTTTCTTGTGTTTATGGAGACAGAAGTCTCACAAAGTAAGCGGGCGGCAGCAGCTGCCCTGTAGCTGAAGCAGGTCTTGAATGCCTTGAACCTCTTGCCTCCACCTTCCAAATGCTGGGACTACATACTCATGCCCGCCCTGCTCTTGCTTTTGATTTGAAGATTACAAGTTAAATTACAAGACATCTACTTAATGCCATGGAAACTTCCATGTTTCTAAGAAGTAACTTTCGGATAAATCAGACGTCTGTATTATCTAGGACAAAATATGAGAGACTGACTTTCGAGCAATTTTTTGTTTTGTTTTTCGAGACGGGGTTTCTCTGCCCTGGAACTAGCTCCGTAGACCAGACTGGCCTCGAACTCAGAGATCCACCTGCCTCTGCCTCCCGAGTGCTGGTATTAAAGGTGTGAGCCACCACCGCCCAGCCAACTACATAATCTTTACTACCTCTAAATTACAAGTGAAGAAATTGAGGCTCTTGGCTCCCACTGCTTCATTTGCATGCCTGGAACTGCAAGCATAGGCACACAGAGCGCCACCATTTTGCAGACCTGAGACTGTGATTGGCTGCTGGAGCCTCGGGGGTAACCATGGTGACGGGAGGCGGGGCTGCGGCGGACCGCGGGCCCTAACAGACTGTAGCGGGGTGTCCCCGCGAGAGGCCGGCGGGCGCAGGGCCCAGCCG